AGCATAGCCTTCAGAAGTTCTTTAACATTCTTGCAATATCTAAGTCAAGGAAAGGATATTTTTTTTCTTGCCTTTCTTTCAAATACGCTTTTCTTTTATCTTGCAAAGGCCAAGTTCTGTCTCTTAAGTCTTTTTTGAACTGGTACTTACCTTGATGGGCTTGGTGTTAATAGTTATAGACTGTTTTTCTTTGCCCTTATTTGTCAAAATTTTACCCGCTCTATGGATGTCTTACTTGTCTTTCCTTGGTTCTTGCATTAGAGGTATTTGATTTTCAACTGCTGACATGCTTAATTCTATGTCATGGGCACGAGTAGCTAATTCTTTAAAAGTTTTTGGCTTAATACCTTGAAGAATGTAGCATCATCCCAAATTCATCCTTTAGATGCACATGTCAAGGGTTGAGGAATCGGACATTTGCTCTTTGCAATTAAGATTGAGATTTCTTCACTTGTGGATATAATCAATCACAAGCTCATCTTTTCATTGGCCCAAACTAATGAGTTCAATCATGCTCACCACACATCGAGTGTTATAGAAGCAATTAAGAAACTCACATTTTAATTGCTCCCAATTGTCAATCATCCTAAGTTCTAAGTATCAATCAAAGGCATTTCCCTTTAATGAGTGAACAAACTACTTCACCATAAGATCGTAGTAAGCGTAAGCATTGTTACAAGTTTTCACAAAGTGTGCAACATTTTGATGAGGATTTCCTTTACCATCAAATTATTGGAACTTTAGTGGTTGGTAGTTAATTGGCATCCTCATGTGATCAATCCTCTCAGAGTATGGTTTGGCATAAGTGTACGAAGGTTGGGAGACACTTTCCACCTATTCTTTGATAGCTTCTTTAATGAATTCCTTCAATTGGTTGGTGGTGAGCACTTCGTTGGATTTTTGTTGGAGATTATTTTCCAATACCATAGCAGAATTCTCCTCATTATTTTGATGATTTTGGCATTGATTTTGATCAAGATCAACTGGTGCCTTTCCTTTAAGGCTGCTAATTGTTGCCATCCTTGAGGCAATTTGTTGATCTGTTTCTTTGATACTTGTCATAAGAGATTCCACAATCTTTGGAAGAAATGCAACTTGATCCTTTGGAGGAAGCAAGCTACATAACAAGGATTTCTTCAGAACTTGGGGAAGAAGTATCATATGAAGGATTTTGGTTGAGGACTAAGAAAGTATGCTTATACAATTTAGTAAGAGCCCATGTCTTTCTCTGAGTACCATATGGATGTGTTGGAACATTCATGCTTAAGTATGCTTATACAATTTAGTAAGAGCCTCTGTCTTTCTCTGAGTACCATATGGATGTGTTGGAACATCCGTGCTTGATGATGAGGTTGGAAAGGCTAGAAAATTCACTTGATCAGGCTTGACAGTGGGTTTGCTAGCAAGATTCTTCTTAGGAGCCATTTCAATCTTCAAAATTTCTAGGCTTGAAAAATTATGAGACAAATATCCAATATTTGATGTGAGTTACAATCTCTAGAACTCCTCTGATTAATTTATTCACTTTATCTTTAAGAGTCACAAACTCAAAATTGGTTTTGGTCATGAACTTCGCTTGATATCTTCGCTTTAAGGGTCTTGACAACTTGATCTTGATCACAAATTATACTTAATATCTTGATCATGAACTTCACTTGATATCTTCGTTTCAATGGTCTTGACAACTTGATCTTGATCCTGAACTATACTTGATATCTTAATCATAAACTTCACTTGATATTTTGATCACGAACTCCACTTGGTATCTTGATCGCGGACTTTGCTGCCACTTGATATCTTGGTCATGAACTTCGATTGATATCTTGGCCATGAACTTTGCTTGCTATCTTGATCACAAACTTCGCTTGTTATCTCGATCACGAACTTCGCTTGCTATCTCGATCACAAACTTCGCTTGTTATCTCGATCACGAACTTCGCTTGCTATCTCGATCACGAACTTCGCTTGCTATCTTGATCATGAACTTTGCTTGATATCTTCACGTTAGAAATCTTCTACTCTTCTCGATCTTCGAAATGTACTCAATCTTCCAATGCCTCTAAATGATCTTAATGGCTTAGAGGAGCCTCCTATTTATAGTGCTAGATGAGAGACTTTGATGAAAATGTGGTCTCTTTGAATTATCTCAAAATTATCTTCATTTAATTGGAGATAAATTATGATGATTCGTTGAAAGTCTTTTAATTGACCAAACTTTAAGTTCTTGAATTTTGATTGGCTGACTCTAAGTTTTATCTCTTAATTTATTTAGAGATAAATTAAATAATTAAATTTATTTTTTATCTCTAAAATATCATAATTATTAAAGATAAATTAAATGATTAATAATTAAATTTTGATTGGTCAAAAAATATGAATATTATCTCTAAATTACCTTGATTTATTTAGAGGTAAATCGAATGACCAATAATTAAATTTTGATTAGTAAAAAATATGAATATTATCTATAAATTACTTAAATTTATTTAGAAATAAATTAAATAATCAATAATTAAATTTTGATTGGTTCAATTTAAATATCATCTTCAAATTATCTTAAGGGATGAATATATACGACACATAGGTGAACTAGTTCAACTATTTCTCTTTAAAATAATCAAACTAATAAATTAATTATTTTATAATTAATTATATAGTTACGACATTATCAAGTCCACGTGAAGGCACGCATTGGATGATAATTGTTTTCCCTCCTGTGAGTTGTCTAGTAAATTAATTTTTGTACATATATATAATATTCAAACAATTAATGATAAAATTGAAATGTAGAAATAGTTTCAATAAATCAGTATTTGACATGTAAAAAAGATGAACGTGGTGGACTTGACATTGCCTATTTTAAACAATCGAAAATTTCCAAATTAGACTTATATTTTTTGGATACTTGAAGGAAGAAAACGATGGTGGTTATGTCGCACTCACCAACATCACTCCTGAAAAAGGGATCTCACCACATGAGGATGAGGTGGATCCTCAAAGGCATCTATGTTGATTTTTGAGCACTCAAAAATAGCTTCTCGTTTATTTTTTGTATAAAAATATATAAAATAATTTTATATTATGGATCACTTTCATGAATGTTAAGGTTAATTTGTTAGTAAGGTTATTTATTGTTTATGTGATTATATGGTAGATATGAAATGATTTGGGCGAAACAGTCCCATCTCCCACCAATCAAAAATCTCCATGTTGCTGTGGTCCTGTTCTAACTTCTAAACTTCACGTGCCTCCCGTGCAAGGCTAAACAGTCCCCACAGTGGGTAGCGGACCACTTAGGACACGTGTGAGTGAATCCGTGACTAATCTCATCATGCCACATTTTGCTTCCGCATTGGACTGTCACCCCTGCTAACGTGCCACCTCCCCCTCATCATCACAGTAACAGAGCTGAGATTGAATCATGACTGTCCGCTCAAATTCGGCGACCGTCAAAGGAAGATCAACCGTAGGGGGGGTGGGCTGGTTGTGGGGTAAGTCACAGTTGGCCCGTGCTAGGTTTGGGCTCACGTGAACCACTTTTCGGCTCTTCGTTTTAGGGTCCAAAATCTGGTCTTCTTTTATGCTCCATCGTATTCACATGGTTTTTCTTTCTCTTCTTTTGATGGTAATAGCAAAATACAGACGATGGTGAAATTCTGGGCCCACTTTTGGGTGGGGCCTCATTATATGAAAGGAATTTGGAAAATGACCATCTTCTTCTTTATTTTTCTTTGTAAAAAAAAAATAAAATAAAATAAAAATCAAAGAAACACAGTCTAATGATACAATAATAGCCAAAGTCTAGTGATGCAATAATACCCAAAGTCTAATGATATCCAGGTTCTCGCAAATACAGAGAAGATCCAAATGGTAAGCGCAGAAGAGAGCAACATTCGAAAATAGGGTGCTAAGCATTCAAACCTTAACACCCATTTTTTGGTTTCCTTGTCTACAGCCTAATTTGCTCTTTCTCCTTCTTAGCTTTATTATACATATATTGACAACTTCTAGTCATACATAAATAATAAAAGAAAAGAAAAGAAAAGAAAGACCCGGCTCTAAGATTTCTCCACCCCCCCTATAGGCAGTTTTGAGCTTATGAAGAAGCCGCCAACCTCACATCACATGACATTTCTTTTCAAAGGTTAATACCATGAGATTCGTAATTAAAACAAGCATTTGATTTTACGACCATATGCTTTTTGTTGATGATTGAAATCTAGTTTGTAATGCAGACAACTGACCAGCTTCATTGATTAATTCAAATTTCTGATTGAAGTTTTCAGCTTTGGCTTTTTACTTGCAATGATCTTTATTTCATTCATTCTTCATCTGGATTCCCCAAAAGCAATAACAAAAGAAAATCATTCTTTATTAATTACGCAGTGCAAGATTGCATTTAATAACGACAAATTGTGGTTCTGGTGAACACCAGTATGTTAGCCTGACCAAACTTCAAAATGAAAATCTTAAATCAAATTCCGTCATGTGCCTGTTTAAAGGTACAATTCGACTATTTTAAATTGTCCATTTTACAGAAAAGCACATACTTTCTTTGTCCCATAACTAGTCTTCTAGTTTCACTTTTTATAAGTTAAAAATTTTCAACTGATTGCATTTTATTTTTCGAATAGTGGTTTACTAAAATTTTAAATTATATGCATTAAAAATTAAGAATAAGGTAGGCTTTAAATGTATATTAAATTTTAAATTTGATAAAATATTTCAAATAATTCATAGCAAAATTAAAACTTTGGTTTAAAAAAAGTCAAATTAAGATATTTTATAAAGAAAAGAAATTCAGAAGAAGTATATGTTACTAGTATTTGCTTTCAAAGTAGGAGTTCATCAATTATACTTATTTTAAATTTTTTTGAATACTTAAATGTATGTTAGTGTTATTTTTTTCTATAATTATAAATGTGTATATTTTTTTTTCATTTTTTTTTGCTTGAACCAGTTTTTTTTAAAGAGATACGTTTTGTTTTTTTGTAGTAAATTTCATTCACAACTGATAATAAATTTAAAAATAAAAATTCTGATAACAAACAGAAAGAAAAATCCAAAAATTTCAACTATGAGTGATTGTTTTAAACGAGGAATACTTTTTGGCAAAGGATATTGTATGGCTATGAGTTGTTGTGTCCAAGACTAACAACGCATCCATGACCACAGAGCTCCTTTTCTCCTTCCTCTTCCATGGGCTCCAGACTCCTCCATGGATCCCTGTTCGCTGATGTGTTGAACACGTGGACAACCGACACCACCCTGGAGATCTCCCCTGGCTTCCTGTATCCTGCCAAGAAGAGCAAGTGTGTCCCGACGGGTGCCATGGTAATGTAAAGCCGTTTGATGGGAGGCCAATTTGCAGCTGAAATGGAAATTGGAGAAGACAATGTTTCCAAGTGTGACCCGTCAACCTCATTCCATATTTTCCCATCATAAGCCTCTATGTGACCTTTCCAAGCATTCAGACAATCCCCCGAGCTATAAAGCTTTTCATCAACCGCCACTATCTGATTAGGTGGCACGTCCAATTGCCACATCCCCATCACAAGATCCCACTTGGCATTATCCGAGTCGTACACCTCAGCCGAACATCTCCCAATCGCGTTCCATGGCAACTTATCCAAATCCGCCTTCTCAGCAAACCCTCCTACCACGTAGATTCTCCCCTGCCATGTCACCCCAACTGATTTGTATCTCAGCACGCTCATGTTAGGCAGTGGTTTCCACTCGTCGAGTGCCGGGTCGTACACCTCAGCCGATGAGGTGCCACGTGCGATGCCTAATGTGCACTGCCCGCCTGCCACGTAGATTTTACTGTCGCACACGGTGCACGCGAAATCGAACCGTGGGGTGCCAAGTGGCGCACACTTGGACCACGCGCCATTGCGAATATCATAGCGTATGACAGATGAGAGGACCTCAAGATCATCCTCAACAATTTCGTCAGAGTCAGGGCCTGAAGCCTTGTGACAAAGCCTGCCCCCGATAATGTAGATTGCGTCACCAATTGAGGCCATGGAAAAACCCTTCCGCACATGGTTCTCAAGTAGTTCAGGAATCCTGTCAACGCGATGCCAAGAGTTGTTTGAAGGGTCGTAACATTCTATCCAATTGGACATGTTTGTGGTTGCCAATAAATCATTAGAACAAAAACAAGTATATATCCTATAATTCGTGAAAGGATTTTCGGGTATGAAGGGAGGAGAAGGTAGAGGGGAAATGGAACCCATGAACTAGATAGGTAAGTAGCTTGGAACGGTGGTAAATGTGAAGTGAAAGGGGGGAATTGGATGGTGTGGCATAGAGGGGAAGATATAGGGAGCAAGCGGATAAAACTAGGAGAAGGATAGCTTTTGATGTTATCGACAATGTCGTAGGTAAGGAGGGTTGGAAGGAATTTCGGATACCATGGGGGAAAAATCTAAGTTTTTCTTGTTTTGTCTTCATAGTGTTTTTGGTGTATCTGACACCCTCATTGGCCTATCTTTATGAAAAAGAGGGATGCCAAAAGAACCTTCCCTCTTTTTTCTTCATTGATTCGTGAATATTAAGTCTTTTTTTTTGTTTATATTATCCTCGGGGAGAATGTGCAATTGTGTCAATAAGAGTCTACAGTTTTGTTCTTTTATTCTTCCAGAATTTATCGATCATCCTTCCTATGATCCCTGGAAAAACTCCACATGAACATTCTTCTGGAATTGAAAGGGGCTTTATCTGAAGGTCAAGCACTTCGTTTTTTATGAAGTAGGCTCCTAGGGCCCATATTCTTTCGTTCATGAATCACTGGGAAAACCAATTGGGCTCGAGACCTTTGTAGGTGAAGTAGAGATGTAGATGGAATTGAATCACCACACTAAGGTCCAAGAAGAACAGAAGAAGAGCCCGCGGATCACCTTCCTAGCCCAACTATTAGTGAACGTGCTATTGCTTGCAGTGCTATCTGTTTGTGCTTTCTCTGCAAAGCCCACTGGTTTTCAGAAGAAGAATTCAAGTATTCAAGCTTGGTGATTCTATCCTTAATCCTTGTATATAATTTTTTGATGCGAGCAATTGAACAAGAAAGAAAAAGAGGGTTCCTTGCCTTCCCGCTACTAGTATTCGTTTAAGGGGTTGTGACTGTGAGCCTGTGATCATGCAACATTTCTCCCCGCTTCCTAGCTATATCAATATGATGGCTCAATAATTGAGGGTCAGAGGTAGAGATACATATATATCCAAGGCACAAGAAAGTGCTTAGGGTGGGTTAAAGACAGACCCGGATGTCCTGAAAGATTAAATATTGGAATCTACTAATTAAGATGTCAGGACTTAATTAGGAGATCAGTACTGCTTTCCTTCCACCATAACCTGTTAGCATTTTCATTTTGGTAAATATAACCTGTAGCATCTTCGGTATGCTACTGTCCTATGTATTGATAGATTCTAAGCTATTGGGCAAGCCCATCTGCAGGTGTCATTATCTTTCTATGAGATTTTGTGATCTATAAATTTCCTTCATTTTCTACGAAGTCTCAAATCATGGACTATATATACATAGAGCATTGGTCCTACCTTCAATCTTATTTATGATTTTGCAAATCGATCCACATAAATTGACAGGCTTAGACATAAGCACTGGTCCCATGACACATTAGTTGATTAGAATACATCTTAAAAACAAGAATTTCTGAATGCCGTTAAGTGCTGGTCAGAGAAAACCAAAACTGATCTCTCTGTGGGTCAAAATTAACTTCTTCCCAAGATCAAGAGTAAAGCTCTATACATATTCGCATCCAGCCATTGATTCAAACTGTGATACAGCCACAGCTGTTTGCAGCCTTGCACTCTCCAGTCTCCATGATCTTAACTAATTTGATGGTGGAAAGATTGGCAGCATGTCTCTAAATAAAACGTTCATTGTAAAGTCACAAACTTGTTTGTCTACCGTATATAATAAAATAAGAAAAATGTTTAAAAAATCCAAAAAAAAAATTGAAATTGTTTGAACAAGACATATAACATTTACATCATTTATACAGAATACGATTATTTTTTATTTCTTTTATTGGATCCCGAACCATTGACGACTATCCAAAATAAGTAGCTCTTTGCAATTAGATAAAAAGGCAATATGCGCCAGTGGCTTATGTTTCTTGGATCTCTATCTTTTCGTTTGTATCAAAAGGATGGTAGGGTGCAATTGAAGATGGTTTTATCTAGTGCCAGAGTCAAGATTTTATGTTTGGGAACGAAAGTAATGTTTATAAAATAAAAATATTAGAAGTTCAATGTTTATAAGACAAAATTGTAAAACTTTTTAAGAAATAAAAGTAAAATTATAAAATTTATAAAAAAGGAGAAATTATAAAATTTTAAAAGTTTGGGGGGTCAAGGCTCCTACTAGCCGCTCCCTCCCCCCCCCTGATCTTATCTAATTCTGAGGCTGATGCGATTTTCTTAATAGTTACATAGTTTTCATTTCAATTAATTTGCTCAAAAGTAAAGGTTATTATGGCGGGGTTAACTTTATGGACAATTAGGCATGTCTTCCTTTTAATTGTTTAAAGAAATTTGAGAGAGGAAACAAAAACTAAAAATGGCAAAGAAGGTCACCATAATATACTTATGTGATTAGCTAAGAAGAAGAAAGAAAGTGAAACTAATGAAAGGGTATCTTTTACGATTTTCAGTTTTTTATTTCTTATTGTGGAGGAGGAAAAGAGACATTTTGAAACGATAGGAAGGTTCTTGTATTTCTTATATTACTTTCAGGGGTGGTTTGTGCATTTTTATGACTAGTCGTCTTGTCGTCAGAATCTGTTTGGTAAGAGAGGTTTTGAATTTCTGCCTGCATTGGTCCATTTTTAGGGCACATGTTGGTTGTCTTATTAAACAGTAAAAGTTTTTCAATGCTTTGCTATATACGACTAGGTATCCAAAGTAATTTTTTATTTGTTCGGCCATACTGTTGCTTAAAAACAAAGCCTGAATGTTTGTACGTAAAAGAGTTACAGTCAATGAATTTTCACATCATGAAGCTAGTGCAAGAAAACATAACAAGGATAGCATTGGGGGTAGGCCTCGGTGCAAAAAGTCTTTCCGATGGACCGACCAAGATGCCAAGGAGCCTTCCAAATTAAATTAGGTCGTCGACATTGAGGCGCAAGTTCACAAGTGCTTCCATGGGTCCTCCACAATGGATACCAACGTGCTAGACCCATTCTAGCTTGTTTTAATTTTTGGTCCATTCATTAAGGGTGCCTTTGTGATTTCTTTGACAAAGATCGTTTACTTACCCACCACAAGTTGTTTATATATCATTATCTCTTTAATTGGTTTTCGGGTAGAGTGTCACCACTTCGAATGGAATTACCCTTTTTGATGGATTATAAAGGTTGATTTACCGAGAAAAAAACAATCGAATAAGCATATCTTAAGTATCATATATATATATATATATATATATAACAATATTCATAAGACTTGTAGTCTTATTGACAAACCATTTTATGAGTAAACATCGAACTTAAGCAATGATGACAAACTGAATCAGTGTTAATGAGACTCTACTTAATTAAATATTCAAAATATCTGCTTGTTTATTTCTCTGTTCGTACATGTCACTTCTCCCTTGTGTATTGATGTAAAAACATAGATTCATGGGTTCCACTACTAGATATCATGGATAACAACTTGGAACAAAACGATGAATCGCGGTAAAAAAGCAGGTCATATAACATAATAAAAGTAAAAAGGACATGCTAGCTCTCACTAACATTTTATGACAATCTGTGGAAAGCTATCTGAAACTAGCATGCACACATTTTGAAGATATTTATGATGTTTTGTTTAAGAGCTGGCACAACAGAATTCATGGCCTTTTTTGTAGTAGATCGTAAATGTTTTGAGTCCATCTGCAACTTCACTCTGGACTCCCTCATTACGATCTGCAATTAATTACCAGATTTTATTAATAAGTTTGCAGTATAGACACTGTCATGCAAATTAAATCCATAGAGAAAAAAAGGTACGTTAAGCTGATACGTTAGTGCTTGCCAACTTGCAAAATGGTCCATGCCCTTATTTATTTTTGAAAATTATTGGCTCGATTTATGTGCATTAATATGACCTAGTTTTGAGTTCATGTCACTTGACAATTTGTTTAGTTACTTGTTTTTCGGAAATGCCCTTCAAAATGTTGAATATATTTTAGTGTAGTGCAAATACACAAGGAAATTGAAAAAATTACAATTGGGACGTAGTGCCAGAGTCATGATTTTGCGTTTGAAGAGGTGAGGACAATGTTTATAAAATAATCATAGTAGAAGTTTATTGTTTGATGAAAATATAAAGTATCTCAAATGAAAAAAATTCATGTGAAAATAACTTAAATAACTCCAATTATGTGTTAAGTATAAAATAAAAATATTTTTTAATAACTATTATGTGTTTTGTTCTTAACAAGTTTCATAGTAAAAAATGCACATTCTGATGTTGTAGTGAAAACTAAAAGAGTCAAGGCAAGTTGAATTAATTTGTCAACAAAGAAGTAAAACTTTTGATATTCATGTTTTCTTTAACACTTGACATAGTTTAGAAAGTGTAGGTATATTTTTCAAAATGTGATTATGAAGAATATAAAACTTGAATAAATCTAATTGATAACTTAGATACATTTTATCTTATTTAGTAAAGTCATTAGGATAATATTTATTTACGAGGTCGCAAATATTTTCAACATCAAAACGACTTGAAATTATTTTAAAGGTCCAAAGATATGCCAAGAGTGAGTAACTTCACTACACTCTCATTAAATTTGAAATTCAATTTTTACAAGAATGAGTCAATAGTAGCAACCAGAAACAAGTCAACTCAACTCAACAATGGTGTTCAATTGTAACATGATTCTTTTGAAGACGACATTTATCTAATTTATAACTAATCTTATGTCAAAAATTTTAATTTCATTTTTTTCACAAAACTTATTCACTGACACAAACAAACGTTTTCATCCATCTTCTCTCAACTATTGGAGGCACTATTTAGTAAAGGATACTAAATGAATTGCATTTAGTATTTCTTCATAGTTAAGTTGTAAAGTTTTTGAGATGTCATTTATTATTTCCAACAACTCGTAATAAGATGCAAGATAAGTATAAATTCAAATGATATATTGGTACGTTATAAATATATAAAATAAGAGGTAAAATTATAAAAATTTTTTAAAAATAAAAATATATTATAAAAATAAA